CTGCTGCACCGCGGCGTCCATGTTCACCACCTCCACGTAGCCGCTGCGGAACCCGCACCTGCGGACGGGGGGCGGGAGTCTAGGCGCCGCCGGCAGACGTGGCCGGCCGAGGTGGCTGGCCCAGCCGCGCACCCCCGCCCGCACGGCCCATACGCACTCTCCCATGTAGCCCTTGGAGACCGAGTGGAAGGAGGCGAGCTCCTGCTGCTCCGCGTATGGCGACCCCATCTCCGTGAGCACCTTCTTGAACGAGTGGAACTGCGAGCCCTCGGCATACACGTTGTCCTGGTACACCTGGATGGGTGACAGCGTCACCAGGGGCGCCCGATGTTGCCACCCCCCCGCCAGCCCACGCGCCCCCGCCAGCACCTCATCAGCCAGCAGGAAGAGGCGCTCTTCGAAGGCGAAGCGGATCACGGCCTCGATGCACTCGCGGGTCTGCACCTGCCCTGGGGCGCGGGGGACGCGGCATGTCCGGGTCAGCCCAGGGCACGCACCCCTCTTCGCGGGGCCGTGGGGGGCAGGATGTGAAAAGAAGGCACTCAATAATTCACAAACTATAAATTTAGCCCTCTGGATACATAAACGGTGGGGTTGCCGGGGTTGATCACGCAGAGCGCGCACGGGCGGCAATGCTCACGCGCCTGGCGCAGCGCGCGCCGCAGCTCGGCCACGTCTAGCGCCCAGACGCGCTCCTCGTCCAGGTAGTAGTCCACCTGCACCGCGTTCAGCTCGGCCAGCGCGGCAGAGTACAGCGGATACTGAGGGATGGGGATGAGCACTCCCGAGCGCGCGCGACCCTCACCGGCCACCAGCAACTTCAGCACTGTCTGTGGGCAGGATGGGGAGGCCGTGTCGGTGGGGCCAGGGGCTGCACCCCGCCGCACACAAAGAGCCACGGTGTCCTGCTTTGGCTCCGGCCTACCACGATGGCGTCGCTGGCCCCTGTTGACAGGAAGATGTTGTTGGGGTCTGCAGAAATGCCTCCGTCGCGCTGCTGGATGTACCGCGCCACATCCTCGCGGATCAGCTGGATGCCAGAGCTGATGCTGTAAGCTCCTGGGCCGGGGACAGGGCGGGACAAGGAAGGACACTTGTGGTCCCTTTGCAGGCTTCAGGAAGTGATCCTCCCCCTTCCAGCAGCCGGGGCCAGCCTACCCACCTCCTCTGGAGAAACCCTCCCTCCAGTTCCTGCTCTTCCCTGGGGCTTGGGCCCGTCCTGGCACTCGCACCTACCTAGGCTGTGGCCTCCACACGCCCGCAGGATGTGCTCCGCCCTGCTCTTGGCATCTTCGGGGAAGTCGGGGCTGTTTAGGAGATCCGGCTGGGCACAGAGGGCCAGGACCTGGGAGGAGTGAGGGCTGAGACCAGGGCACATGGGCTGACTGGGGAAGGGCGCCAGGGCATTGCGGGCCTCACCTGGCGCAGGAAGGTGATGGGCTTCTGCCCCATGGCCTGGGCGTCCCCGATGTTGGCACGGATGACCTCAGTGAAGGGTTTCTTTACGCCCTGGGTCGGGGGCGCAGATGGTGAGAACAGGCCCTATGACTCCCGCAGGACCTTGTCCCATGCGACGCGGGGAACGGGGCCGACTGGACTGCCCAGGTGAAGCCTGGAGGGCAGGGGTGGGGGCCAGGGCATACCTGGCGCAGCTCCCGCTCCAGCTCCAGGGCGCGCAGCACAATGGGGCCGCGAACGGCGTACTCCACCCTCCGAATGCTTGAGTTCATGGTGTCCAGCGTCAGCACCTTTTCCTTTACCCCTGTCATTGCAGCCTGGCTGTCACCTGCTCTCAAGGCCATGACCCTGCTCAGACCAGGCAGGAAGGAGGCTCAGGAGGTGGCACAGTCCGGAAGTGGGGTGAAGGCAACTGGGTCGAGGCTCAGTGGCCAGGCTGGGGAGGAGGGCTCAAGATAAGAGGGTGCCCTCTTCACTACAGCCTGCTGGCCCCACTGAAAGGGACAGAAAAAGCTGGAGGAGGAGCTGGGGACGCCGGCCCGCCCCACTCATCTGGGCACAGCTCTGCCCCAGGGAGCCACAGGGAGTGGGTGAGGAGGCAGGCGGGGCTTGGGGCGAGGCCTGGTGCCTGCCCAGTGTCTCCATGACAGGGGAGCAGGAGACCCACATGGGGGGTAGGGACAGACGGAAACTTCGAGAGGCTTTGAGGGACCGTTTGGGGAAGGGGAGGCAGTTGACAGAGCTGGGCAGGGCTGACTCTGAGGTGGGAATGGAGCCTGGGGCCTCAGGTCTACCCAGCAGGGCTCAGCAGAGGCCCCTCATCCTTGCGTAATCTGGCAGGCCTCAGGAATCGTGGGGTATCTGGGGAGGGGAGTGAGGCATTCAGACCAGGGGCTCCACCTCCCCCCACCTGGCCCAGGGGCTGGACCTTGGGCTCCATCCTGTCTGAAAAGCCAGAGTCTCTGGGCTGTGGTGTCGGGGAAGGGCCCTCAGACACCTCGCTGCTCTGGGCTGCAATGTGCCCTTTCGCCAGGCCAGCCTGGGGCTGCCCTTGGGGCCACGCCAGCAGCGGTCACTAAGCCCAACTTCCTTTGCTCCTGACTGGTGGAGAGAGTGGGAAGCAGGCAGGGATAGGCACTCAGGGCCCCACCCCCGCAGGCCCTGCCCAGGGGTGGCTCCCCCAGCGGCCGGCTCGGGAGGGTCAGGGAGACAGCCTTCAGAGCTGGGCCCTGGCTGTGGCCGGCTGGCGGAGGGGTGGGTTCCCTGGCTCCTTGTCTGAGAGGGAAACAACAGGAGCCCAGGCGGCTGGCTTCTCACCTCGCACCTTTCTGCTCTGCTCTGCTGGCTGCCACTGCGGCCTCCCTGCTGCAGGCCTGTCCCTCTGGCCTCCCGACCAGAGTACAGGTTAATACGGGTCGGTCCTCAGGCGGAGCCAGCCCTGCCCGCCCCCTGGCAGCGGAGCCCAAGTGGCAGCAGAGGTGGCAGGTGGACCTTGGGCAGCTGCACTGCTCCACGCACTAAATTTAACCAGCAGCCTATCTGGCCCTGCCCTTAGTTGGACACCCCTCCAACCACTGATGGTCAGGGAAGGGCAGGCCCTGCAGACACTGGGCTGACCCGGTTGGTGCTGAGTGGAGAGGGGAAGGTGACCTGAGCCCATGCCACCCAGCACTGGTGGCCATGCTCAGCTGCCTGCCGTGGACAGAGGAGCTGGTAGCTCCCTCGGTCCTCCCACTCGAGGCCCCTTAGGGGCCCCTGTCTCCTCACACATTGTGCCCAGCCAGCTCAGAGCCTGAGTAGCCAACCGCTGGCCCCTTTTGCCAGTCCAGGCAAAAGCTGGCAGCCAGGCGCCAGGATCGGATGCATGCCAGGAACAGGGGGCCTGCCTCTGGGAGGTTTGCGACAATAGCCTTGTACAGCCTCTCCTCTAACAGGGACTCCCCCAGCCTTGATCCCCAAGGAGCGCCCTTCCGAGGCTCCCTGCTGCCCTCAGGAAAGCAGAGCTGCAGAGGTGTCTCTGGGAGGCTGGGCGGGGGGGAGGGGACAGGGTGCAGCAAATGCCATGCTTCTTGCCCAGTGGAGGAGTCCTCACTCCCACGCAGGGCCGGGCCACCGCCAGCAAGCCCCAGCGCGCACTGACAGGCCCCCATTGGGTGCTCACAGGGACTGCTCCCCCAGGCCCAGCCGCGCAGCAGCGCCCACTGCAGGGACGGTGGCCCAGCTGAGACACACAAGGCAGGTGGCAGAACAGCCCTTTATCAAGAATCACAGGATGAAATGAGGTCTCTGCAGTTGGGTCCCCCCAGATGTGGCTTCTGCCTCAGGTCTGTTCGTGGGTAAGGAGACGGGATCCCAGATGGGGGGAGCCAGAGAGGCCCCTCACGGGCTGCCCGCTCACAGGGGCACAGCAAGGTCTCTGAGGCAGGAGCCCTAAGGCAGGACTGTTGCCACCTTGAGCCCCAGCCCCTCACATAAGCATGCAGCATGGCTTCTTCTCCACGGGGGCCTCCTCCATGGGGGCCGTGAGCTTGAGCAGGGGCGGGTCCGCATCAGGCCTGGAGCCATGCTCAGGCTGGGGGGTCTCGGGGTCTGAAGGCAGGCAGGACTCTGGGGCCTCTGGCCCCTCGGATACGGGACGCTGTAGCTTAGCAGCGGCCCGCTGGCGCTTGAGCTCTGCCAGGGTGTGGTGGGCCTTGGCACGGGCCAGGGCGTCAGTGGCTGTGCCCTCCAGGGGGCCCAGCTGGTAGGAGACACTCCGGTCCAGCCTCTTGGAGTACAGGTGACGACCAGCAGGGCTGCCTGCTCGGCCATTGTGTGCCTTGGATGCCTCGGGGTCCTCCTGTGGGGACAGCGGAGGCCATCAGGAGGGCTCTCTGCGCCCCTCCTCGTCCTCCCGCTGCCTGGTAGTCCAGGGGCAGCAGCTGACCCTGGACCTCTGCCGGGCACATGTGCACAGGGCCACGTGCCTGCCCCACAGTGGGGCGGAGCTCACTTGGGAGGGTGGGGGCCTGAGCTCCGAGTCTGTCTGGCGGTCCTCATCCTCCTCAGGTGGTTCCGGGCTGCCAGGAGGCGGCTGCTGCCACACGATGGCCTCTTGGGCGTGCTCCTTGCGGTATAGGCTGGTGCGCTCGGTCAGGCTCACCCGCCTCACCACCTTCCTGGGAGAGGGCAGACTGAGGTGCGAGAGAACACCATCCCCCGCGGACTCTGCGGGGTGGGTGGGGGGTCTCCAGCTGGCACTCCGGCCGCCTGCTGACGTCAGCGGGGTGAAGACAGTGCGGGGCTTCGCAGAGGCAGGGGCAGGGGCGGGGCACTTACCCACGGCTGCCGGCACTGGAGGTGCGGCGGCGCAGCAGAGCGCGCTGGCGACCTCGGGCACGCAGGAGCGCATCGTGCTTGTGCTTCAGCTCCAGCAGTTTGGCCCGGACCTCCTCATCCCCGCACACGTCTGGGAGGAAGTGGGCGGAGGGGTCAAGGGAGCCCTTGGCCTGGTCCCCTGCCTGGGGGCAGGGGACGTGAGGGGAGTTTAGCTACCAGCTCACCAAGAGGCGTCTCATCCATCAGGGACTTCCCATTGAGATCGGCCCCATGTGCCACTAGCAGCTCCACCAGATGCACCTGTGGGCGAGAGCGCAGGCTGCTGAAGGCTGTGGAGCTGCGGGCCTAGCCGCACCCCAGCTGCCCCAGCGCCAGGCTCACCTGTCCCCAGTAGGCGGCAGCGTGCAGCGGCTCCCAGCCGTCGCAGTCCTTGGCGCTCAGGCTGGCCTGGTGTTCCAGCAATAGGGCAGCAGCCTCGCTGAACCCGCTGGCAGCTGCGACGTGCAGCTGCAGGCAAACGGCCCAGCCCTGAGTCCCAGCCCGTCTCCCTCCAGCAGCAACCTCCCCCGCCTGGATCGCACACAGCTACGTCCTCACCAGTGTGGCCCCATGGTCCCCAGGAGCGTCGAGGTCAGCCCCCAACCTCAGCAGGCTCTGGATGCCCTCTAGCATGTGCAGCTCCGGCAAAGCCCGGGCCCCCTCAATGCTGTCCTGGGTGATGCCTGCAGGGTAACCGGCTCACAGCTAGCACACCCAGCCCCCCCAGGCAGGCAGGTGGGGCGGGACTCACCACGGCTGGCCATGGCTGTCTCAAGGCAGTCCAGCGTCTGTTCATCCTCACACAAGTCGTAGGGCATGTTCCCGTCAGTGTTGACAGCCAAGAGGTCAGCGCCACTGCAGGGAGGCGGACAGGGTGCTGGCCACAAGGCCCCTCCCAGAGGTTGTCCATCTGCAAAGCCCTCAGCCTAGGGCTGGGACATTGGAGCCAACGATGGGGAGGCCAAGGCCCCAGATGTCCTGGACCCTGTCCTCAAGCCAGGTGGTGTCCTGCAGTGTCCACCTGTGTCTTCAGGTTCTTGGGACCCATCTGCCCCCATGAAGGTGCACAGTGGGCCTGCCTGCCTGGGGCGGGTGGTGGTGCCAGGACTCTGGAAGCCCCAAGGAGCAGGTGTGAGAGGAGGAGCACCCGGCAGAGCCCTCACAGGGGACAGAGCCTGAGTGGGAGGGGCCCAGAGCCCAGGGCGGTCCCCACTGTGGAGACCAGGGGCTCGGGCTTGGGGCTGCCCTGTGCACAACCCCTGTGGCCCCAGGACCACTCACCCCCCACATACCCACACACCGTGAACACCTACACCTCTCCCTGGACAGCCTGAGCCCCCAACCATCTACCCCACTGGAGGGTCATGGTCGAGGGGCCACAGAAAGGGACCCCTGGGTCCTGGTGAAGCTGACCACCTGCGTGCTCACGGAGTAGAGCAGCCTTGTCCTGACCACCGTCCCATTAACGGTTCCCACTTCCTCCTTGCCAGTTCCGCCCTCACCACTGACCAGAATGGCATTCCTCTATACAGACCCTGGGGGGGGGGGGCGGGGGGCACGGCCGGGGGGCAGAGCTGGAGGTCAAGGCCTATCCTC